CATTGGACACAATTACTAATTTTCAGTTTAATTAAATTGTGGCTCTAAATAAAGTTGCCTGAGCCCAAGTCCCTGCTGCCAAAAATAAGACACGAATAATTCAGATATATTTGTAGAATTCTATGAAGTTTTCATGTATTAAAATTACTAAAGCTTTGCTGAAAATAGAAATTTACTAAACTTTTTTTTTCCCTAATGAATATCTTAGTATTTCACAGCATGTATCACTTTAATCTAATTAAACACTGATGACTGACTACACATTCCTACACACTTTAAAAGCACACCTGTTTTATTGGCATGAACTCAAATCTAGCAGGGTGTGGTGCTGCACACCTGTAATCCCAGCTATTCAGGAAGCTGAGGCAGAAGGACTCCAAGTTCAAGGCCAGCCTGACCAATTTAGCAAGCTCCTGTCTCAAAATCAGAAAAAGAAGAAGAGGAGAAGGAGCTGGAAATACAGCTCGGCCCTGGAGTGTTTGCCTCAAGGCCCCAGATTCAATCCCCGGTATGGCAGAAAACAAAACCAAACCCTAGCAAAAATTGCTTTCAAAATCCACTCTTGCTATAATGCTGGCTACTCAAGAGGCTGAGGCACGAGCACTGCAAGTTCGAGGCCATCTTGAGCAACCAAACCAGAACCTGTGTCAAAATACACTAGAAAACCAGGAAGGAAGGATGTATGTACCTCAGTGAAATTACCAACTTAGAGGAAATTACCAGTTCAGAGGACCTGCCTAGTATACATGAGGCCCTGGGTTTAATCTCCAATAGTGAAAAAAGGAGCCACTTTTGTTTATAACCACTTTTGTTTATAAATTTACCCTCTGTGTAATAGTTGTCTGCAAACTACTACTGCCTTGATGGATCAGGCACAGTGGTTTGTTTGTGTGAGTGCAGAGCGTGAGATGGGAGGACGGCAGGGAGAAGAAGAGAGTGATCTCCTGGCTAGATCATAAACATCAACATTTTATCCTGGTGTTACTTAAAAAATCCTCCAGAAAGTCTCTTCCCGTGGGAGAGACACACAGGCTACAGGCACTACGTGCTACAGAGAATCAAAAGCGCAGAGCTGCAGGGATCCGGACTGTCTAGCTTATCCACCTTCTCCCTTTATAGCCGAGGAAACAAGGGCTCAGGACAGATACATGTTGTGTCAAGGGTACACAGAGAGGTGCCATTGAGCCTTGACCCTGCCGGTCCTCATTCTCAGGTCACATGGTCTCTATGAGTCTCCACTCATTTTAAATCCCTTTAGTCTTCTATTAAAATGAGGGTGAAGTTGTTCATGATTTTAGTAGAGAAAAAACACATACCAGAAACGTGTGTGTGTGTGTGTGTGTGTGTGTGTGTGTGTGTTGTGCTGAGGGCAGAACCCGAGGCCTTGGGCATAGTTAGGTGACTGCTCTAGACTGAGCTACACCCTTGGCCCATATGTGGCATTTTTTTCCTTTATATCCTAACTACATGCATTAAAAAAACAATCTGTATCTTTACAATGAAACTACCGTGATACTTTACAAGGACTCCCTAATTTTTTCAAGCTACTACTGTTCATGGAATTTCAGGCTCCTTCTTCTGGTGATACATTCTAATATAAAAAAAGTTTTCTTGGGAGCAGGGTGTATTCCACGCCATTCAGACTGTACCAAAATCAGGACTGGAAATCACTGGTGAGACAAACGATCAAGAAAGTGCCCAGTTTTTCAAAAATTGCAATTCTATGGCAAGGAAGCTAAGGAGAATAAAACTGAACACAACGTCACAAAATTTCCAAACAACTTAGCGACGTTCTGGTGCCTTGTCCTGGGGAAATCCGCTCTAGCGATGAGGAACAATGGCAGACCTAACGAAGGAGGAGGAAAATCTTTCCGCTTCAACCCTGCATGGCCTAACCGAAAGCTCTACTTTCATCTTCCTTAACCATCTCCCCAACTACAAGGATTTGAAAGCCCCTTGATCACAACTTTTTAAAATGATTCATTGTACTTAAATTAATCTTCAATAAACGACCTGCTAAAAAGGCTTGGTGGCTGGGGCACGTTGGAACAATGACATAAAGCGTTTCCAGAACTGAACAGAGATTAAAGACAGTCCCAGCATCTAGGCTTCCAGGTCTAAGGGAAGTCTAAAAACGTGCTTCTCCCCTGTGCTGTGAGAATATGTAAAGGTGGCATTTGTAATGCTCTGTACAATTAAAATGGCGCGTGCGCACACACACACACACACACACACACACACACACACACACAATCAGCAGCAGCACCCAGTTTGCAGTCTCTCAAAGCACACGTGTTATGCAACGTCTGGGGAAACCAAGAGTGCGAAGAGGTCATCCAGCGGAGGAGCACACAGGAACATTCAGGCAGCGTCCCTCTCCATGAGGTGCAGGGGTGAGACAAGGCTCCAGGGAGCCAGCAGCCGCACACACTCTGCGCGTGCTGGGCGTAGGCATGGAGTCAGGTGGGCTTCCGGGGAGCACCTGGGCCAGGGCTGCCAGCTGAAGGCAGCTTTCATAAAACGCGCGCCTGGATGTGGGAACGAGACACCGAAGCACAACTGCCTCCCACAGGGCTGAGAAAGGAAATTTGTTCAGCGTGGGGGTGAGAAATCTGCAGTGAGAACAGAAGGAAGTACCAAGATCCTCTGCCACACGAACAGACAAGCCAGAAGAGAGCCACAGCTCGAGGGCTGTGTCTCCGAGCCACACAGGGGGCGGCGCGGCTACAGGGCCTGGGTCACCTAGGAACAAACATAGCAGCAAGGGCCATCAGATTAGTCTCTCCTGTGGGAATATGACACTACAACTGCGCCAGAACACTTTCCTAAGGTTAGACGCTTTCTCCTCTCCTCTTCCCTCTGCAGTCACACCCAGTGACAGATTTGTCTGCAGGGGATAAAAGGAGAAAGGGCAATGGCAGTTTGGAACAATTATTTTTATAGGAAAAAAAATGCACAGAATTGATCACATGACTGGGCATGGGAATAGACTTCTCAGTTTTTTTTTTTGTGGTTGTCCTAGGGATTGAACCCAGCGCCTTTTCACTGAGCTACATGCCCATCCCTTTTTGAGACAGGGTCTCCCTACATAGTCTAGGCTGGTTTTGAGCTTGTGATCCTCCTGCCTCAGCCTCCCCGGACTGCTGAGTTTATAGACATGCACCAGCACACCAGCTTGAATTAATTCTTAAATGAAAACAAAAATAAGGGAATACAGCCATCCATCCCTGCCCAAAAAATCCATTTCACAGAAGGATGATGCAAGCAAAATGGGTAAAGGAGGCACCCACTGCCTTAGCTTCTGCATGGGTATTGTGCTATATTACACACAGGCGTGCAGGTATGTCCGCATAAATATGTAGGACAGCGGAAGCAGCACAGGGAGTTTGTAATAAGAATGCTTTTGTGTGTGTGTGCCGAGAATCGAACGCACAACCTCGCACTTGCCAGGCAGGCGCTTGGGCCATTGAGCTATGTCCCCAGCCCAAGAATGCTTACTTGAAAACAAAAAGCACCATGAAAACTAAAGAAATCTGTCCGCGAAGTTGCCTTTTATTTTTATTTCCTTGCATCTGTGGTATCATCCTACTAAAAATGAAAGATAACACGCAGATGTGAGAGGTGTATTCTTGACAACAGCATGAAAGGAAGACCCTAACAGCTTCTAGTCGCACTAAGAACGCTGAGTGATCAATAAGTAAGTTCACTTAAAAGTCCTTCTAGAGAGCAAAAACTTCTATTTAGATGCCACGATTCCACAGTAAATGGATGTTCCCCAATAACTGAGTGAGATTCTCTGGAAGTTGACATAGTCTCATTTATTTATGTTCGTTGGATTTTTTTCTGGAGACAGAGTCTTGCTGCGTAGTCCAGGCTGGATTTGAACTCATTCAGGCTGGTCTCAAACTCACGGCAATTCTCCTGCTTCAGCCTCCCGAGTCCTGAGATTACAGGTGTGTGCCACCTGACTTACATAATCATGTTTATAAAGGCAACAGAATTTTGTACATAAACATTGTCTTACTGTTTCCTTAATAACGCTACATACAACTCTGAGTGCTAGATACAAAGGATTTCTGGACTGATGTTTATTAGCAAAATTTGACAGGATTCAAGTAAGTGTGCCAGGCTGGGAGCAGAAAAGACTTGATGAAACACTCTTTAATTTTTATTGACGGGCACATCACCATTTTGTGCAGTTTGCTGGACAGTGGTACACCTTCCTGTATATCATCTTACATGAGTTCCTTGTTAGCAAACCAAAAGCACATTCAATTATTCCGCTTCATTTTTAGATGTCCAGGATAAAAAGCATCTATTGTGATAGTCCAAATTTTATAATTATGTATTGTGATGTGTGTGTGTGTGGGGGGCTTACTTGGGAAAATATTCCAGCAGAACTCCTGTTTACCTATGGAAGTGTTTGCTTCATTGTTTGGTAAGAAACACAAAATGAAATTAACTGAATAATAATCTTGACCTTTTCTTGGAAGCACTTACATATTCAAATTGATTGTGATGTACTGGGTAGTTTAAGGCTGCGTACATTCAGAGCGCTACAGCTATGAATGCTTGGAAGAGCGTATTGGCGACGACAGACAACACACCCGTGGGGACTGGTTTAGGTACCGAGATGACTTAGCCAGGAGAGGAAGAGAAGGCATCACAAGGTACCACAGCCAATTAGCTGAGGGCATTATTGTCACGAGGGTGGGGATTCCTCTTCATTTGCCCACTCACTGCTATATATGGAGTTTGTATGGGATTTTCTCTGGGTAGCCTTAAAAATAGAGTCATCCATGTCTCAGGAAGTAGAGAAAGCTGAGTCTGCCTAAGAATCGACCTTCCAGGTTTCCCTTCCTACACCAATATAAAAACACAGAAAGACCTACTGGCGTTGCTCAATAGACCTGGTTATAATGACAGGGAATTACAACACAGGAACATACTGTAATTCCTGACGCAAACCATGGCTAGGCGGGAGATCTGATGTTACTTTAAGGTACGATGGGGTCGGCTGAAGCAAGATGGGACATACAAATCTTTTCATACATCGAATTATAAGCCCACAAATTCTCAGTGTAAATTGCTTAAGGAGGGTCTTCTGTGATGAAATTGAAAATGTCTCCTCCATATGTGCAGTTCCAGGCCTGGCAACATTGAAAGAAAATGTTCTAAAAGATAAAGCTGGCACGGAAAAAGCACAGGGAGAGGGATCAGCAGTGATCAGAGCAAAACAATTCTAGAAGGCATCTTAATTTTCATACGGCTCATTTGCATTTGAACCACTGAATTCCTATCTTTCTTGTACAAAAATATGTACATATTAAGTTACTTCACACTTGAGAGAACATTTCGCTAAATGTTTGGAAGATGGTCAAATTTTAACTGGAGGACTTGTTTTCTTCCGTCAGGTGTGGGGGAGATGTGGCTTCCTGGTATGAGAGGCAACAGTTGATTCTAATAGCAGAACAAGACAAAAATAAGAAAGTAAATTGAAAACAATTCTTACAGGTACAGTTTGTATTAAAGGTGGTAAAACAAAAAGGGTACGCACAGTACAAAGAGGTCAAAAGGCATCAATTTAAAAATTACACTTGGTTACCTTACCCAAAATTGTGATCCTCTGATACTTGAAAATTAGCTTCTATAAGTTATTCTAAGATTCTTGCGGATATACTATTGTTCATTTCAATATACTTACTGTGAGTATGTAACCAATGATTAAAAGACAGATCATTGGCTATTAAACAATAATTCCAGCAGTCAATATTGTACTCATCTCTGGTTTTTATTTATTAATTTAAAAAAAATTTTTTTCCAGTACCGGGAATTGAACTCAGGACCTTGCACTTGCCAAGCAGGCACTTGTGCCACTGAGCTACATCCCCGGCCCTCTCATCTCAGGTTTTTAAAAGATCAGACAGTTGTAGAACAGCCAAGGCTTCAGATCGTTTTACTATCACTGTAGACACCAATTAGTCTTCGGAAGCTGGTGGTCATACCCTCAGACTAAGGAGCTGGGGTCTAGGCAGGGATTTAGGCTCACAGAGTAAAACTACATCTTTCTGTAACTTTTAGTTTCTTTCCTGATATGGTAAAATTTCTAGGAATGTCCTCAGAAAGAAAAGGAAAGACTTTTCTGAAAGGCATCTCTGTCCTTCTCTTGGCCTTGACCTCTTGGGGACTTGGCTGGCAGAGGGGCTGTCTGAGCGTGGCCTCACAGGGTGCATTTCCTAGGGACATAGCGTGACAGCGTCTTTGTAAGTGAGGTTATCTGGTGCATGCTCTTCTTCGTGTGCACCTGGGCCTCTTGTAAAGTCCTGGGTGGTCCTGGCTGGGCTCCGGCTAGGAAGGCCAGGGCGGCACTGCTGTGTTCTGAGTCTTAAAGGGACAGCGGCTTCTTCACCCCGCTCAAGGCAGGTGCCACGGCAGCTCTCCAAGGAGAAAATGAACCAGAGGGACCAAGAGGCAGGTTGGGGCAGTGGCATGCTTGTCCCTCCCAGGCCAATGGGGGAGAATAAGTGAGATGGTTTAAAGCAGGCAAAGATCTTTTATATACAGTTTACACTGTATTTTCAGATGCTTGCTACAAAATTATTTAAACAGCTCCTAAGCATCCTAAGTGGAAGCTGCATTGGGATTGATTTACAAAAGATCAGAAGTGAAAGGTAAAATGGTCTGTGTAATAATACTTCAGCTATGCAGAGATTTTTGGGCACACAAAAATAATTTAACATTTCATTTTATGGATTTAGTTTGCTCTTTGCCTCTGAACGAATTTCTATTTTAACCATTAAGGGATCAGAAAAAAATAGAGGTTGCTTTTCTCCTTTATGGAAAATATGGTAATGAGAAGATAAATGGCTAAAAATTAGATCAAAGGTGGGAGATTAAGGAAGCACAAACTGTGAAGATGGTCAGCCTCTGATAAGTTGAAATTACCATCTTGATTTATTAATATTCAATGTTCACCTATTTACATACTTGAATAGTATTTATTAAGTGCCTCCTATAAACCAGAGATTGTTTTTGGCTCTGAGATTTTACAACGTGAGGGAAAAACAAAAGAAAACAAACCTACTTCCATAAAGTTTATGTTTTCACTTCAGTTTTCTGAAAGCAAGTGGACAGTCACCTAACAACTGCGGAATGAATGCCTGTCACAAGAGTCGCCATTTTGTTCCACAGTATTGGCCAATTTTAAGACAAGATCTGGTTCCCAAGTGTCTGGTTTTCTCCTTTGTAGCTGGCAGAGCTGCCCCCTTAAGGTTTTTTGGTTTTTTGGTGGTAGTGGGGATTGAACTCAGGGCCTTGTGTGCGCGAGGCCAGCACTCTTCCACTGAGCCACATCCCCAGCCTGCCCTTAGCTTTGAGGAAGAGCATAGGAAAGGCAAACTTAGCTGCCTGCATCTGTGAAAAGAGGAGCCCTGTCTCCTCCACCGTGCAGCTAGAGGCTACAGAAAGGAGCTGCGATCCTGCTGCAGTGGCGGTGAACAGTCCTGTATAATCAGGGCTTTTACGCTAGGAAGTTCTGCATCATTTTGATTGAATGTGCAGTCTGGGCATAGTGGTGCACACCTGTAGTCCTAGCTACTCAGGAGGCTGAGGCAGAAGGATCACTTGGACTCAGGAGTTAGAAACCAGCCCGGGCAATGTAGTGAGTTCTTGCATCCAGAAACAAAACCAAAAAAAAATCTTGGAATAAGATTTTCATAGTTCTAGGTTTTATTACAACAATCACCAATATTTATTAAGATACATAAATGCACCTAAACCAGAAAAAAGGTGTTGGTGTCTACCTAGGCAATCTGAATGGCAAGACAGTGGGAAAGAATTCACGGCCCTTTAACGTTTGAACAGAAGTACCTGCTGACGCCTTCTGCTCTTTCCCTCATTGCGTGCTTTTCTTTTCACTTGATCCTCTCGGAAAGAATCAAAGTAGGGGCTCTCCAGGAGTTGGGCGCAGGTTAATCTGTCATCGGGGTTCATCTTCAGACACCCCTTGGAAGAAGAGAAAAGTAAAATACATTAAGAAAGGGGCTTACTTTGTTAGTGTGCCCCCAAATTCTGGATAACGGCCTGATAGGGTAAATATGACTTTAAAAAACCAAGTGTGTCTATCACCAAGTACTCAGGGCTCATCACTGGCCTCTTGTACCGCTTCAGCCTTTTGTGGGTGGGCTGTGTGGACACTCACTGTCCCCAGAAGGGGCCACCTGAGTATCATGCTCCCGTGTGACTTTCATCGCAGGTGACAGCGAACCATTCGTAGGAGTCCTCAGTGTTGTCCCTTGGACTAGCAGCACCAGCGCATCTGGGTGTTGTGTGCACTGGCTTTGAAATACAAATTCCAGGTCCTACCCAACCCCTGCCCAATCAGGAACGAGGGGTCCGAGCCCAGCAATTCATGTTTAACAAGCTCCCGGGTGATTCTGAGTGGAGTCTGAAGACACCTGTGTAAGGACATGGTAAGGAAACGTGAACCTCAGACATGAGAAAGAATCTGAAATAGAAAGGGAATGTACTTTCAGAGAAGAGTAGCAACTAGAGGACGAAGAAAAATGGGGCATTATGACCCTTTACAGTTGAGTCCATCAGAAGAAGGCTCGAGATTTGTCTCCAAGTGGGGAGCACGTGACACAGAGGGGCTGGGGGCAGTCCTGACACAAAGAGGTTTCTCCCAGAATCCCTGATCCTCTGGCCAGAGAATGAAGCTTTGCTCACTGGTGCAGACCGAAGGCAGTCCGTAAAGAACTGAGGTAGTGTCACGATACCCCGGCTTAGACGGCCTGAAGTTTCTTGCCTTGTGTCCATTAGAAACATGGCTCTCTAGCATCACAGACCTTGTCCTGAGGTAGTCAGGAGTGCAGACAATCGCACCGCCTGAGGCCACCCCAGCTGAGGAACTGCTCCCTGACCCAGCTGACCTCAGGCCACTGAGACCCCTGAGAATGCTGCCTGTCACCAAGCAGTATCACCTACCCCCTGGAGCAGTACCTGATTCGTGCTGTTCTTCCAGAAACAGTCCTGCTTAGCATAACCAGACTCGCCTGTCCCATCATGTCTCTAGCTGGTTCAAGCAGATCATCCCCTAATTAACCATCCACCCATGTATCAACTCCAGCTGCTACTGGCAGGCAGTCTCCTCAAACCCTAATGCTTCAGGATTACCATCAGGACAGACTTTTGTTTGTTTGGTTTTTCGGGGACAGGGTCTCACTGTGTAGTTCAGGCTGGCCTTGAACTCAGGACGATCCTCCTGCCTCAGCCTCCCAGATGCTGGGATTACAGATGCGAGTTACCACACTCGATTCAGAAAGACTGTTCTGAATATAAGCTGTGGTGGTCTCTGTTTATCACTGCCTGGCTTCTGACTTCACCATTCCACTTAAGTGGTTCAGTTCTTAATACCTGTGAACGCTACTCTTCATCATACTCAGTAGGTATGCTGAGTTCTGGTCTGAGTAGTATTAGACACTGTTGATGGGCTCTTCCTTCTTGAAATGCTTTTTCAGCTTCTCTGTTACCTCACTTTTCTACCTTCTGTCTCCTGACTATTCCTTTCAAACCAGCCTTTGCTAGCTTCTGTTCTCCACAATGATTGCATGAAATTCCTCCTGGCTCAGTCCTAGCTGGCCCTAGTTCCTCCCGTTCTCTTTGGTGCCCATGGATTCAATCATCAAAGTTTACCAGAATTTCCCACATCTACAAATTTATTGTACACCCGGCGCTGAAATCCACACCTGCATATGTAAACTCCTATTTACCATCTCTTCCTAAGTCTTTTTTTTTTTTGGTCTTTTTGAGAAAGGATCTTGCTATGCAGTTCAAGCTGTCCTTGAGCTGACTTTGTAGCCCAGGCTGGTCTCGAACTTGCAATGATCCTCCTGCTTCAGCCTCTCACGTGTTGGGATTACAGGCATGCACCACCATGCCTGGCTCTTCCTAAATCTTGAGGGCATGGGTATGGGTGGAATTGTGTCCCCTCACCCCAAAATCTACATTGAATTTGTAACTCTCAGTACTTCAGAGTATGACCTTACTTGAAAATAAGATCATTGTAGGTGTAATTAGCTCAGATGAGCAGGCAGGCCCTCTTATCCAGTTATGATGGATGTCCCGTAAGAAAGCAGACGCTGTACAAACAGACCCACCAAGAACGCCGTCCAAGGACAGAGGCAGAGAGGAGGGTTAGTGATGCTATCACAGCCAAGGAACACTTGGGACTCCCAGAAGCTAGAAGAGGCAAGAAAAAATCCTTGCCAACAGTCTTCAGAGAAAGCACGGACCTGCCAACATCCGGGGAACAGATTTGGAGCTTCACGCTTGCCGCTGTCTTCTCCTTTACCTCTCCACAATAAAATCCTATCAGTTTTACTTTCGAATATATCTCAGAGTCATTCACATTCTTCTGTGGGCTTTCAACCTATTGAAATCTAGGCTATCATTAAATGCCTTTGAGTTTGGTTTTTTAATTTCAAAGAGCATTTTTAGATAAGAGGCTGCTAAAGCTGAGCTGCTCGCTGGGAGCGAGGCTAGAACAATGTCCTTCCTGACTAACTTCGGGACTGCTGACATTGATCGGGTGGTCTTGCCTGGAGTAATAGCTTTCTGTAACTAAGAGGCTGATGCATTCTCAGAGGCACTCTCGGATAGATGTGCTTCCTATCTGGAAAACGTCCTTAGATGGGACATAAGAAAATGGGACTGGAAAATCCAAAACAGGATCTTTTCCTTGAAAAAAGAAAAACAGTCGATCCTTTTTAAATTTGGTAGGGAGCCCTCCACGACCATTTCTAATGATCTACAGTCTTTTTCCTAAGTGATCAGACTCAAGTGGCAGGATGTTCACAATCACGGAGACAAATGAATAAGAAAGACTGTGCTGATGGTCTTGTTTTTGAAAGGAACACGAAGGCCCTGGCATAGACTGACTGCTGTGTGCCACCACCATCCTCAACACTGTCACTGGCCCACACTTCACCTGCATAAGTTACGACCTGTCCCATGCGCTAACCACCGGTTATGGTAGCCGGTATTTATTTGGTGTTCAATATGTCCCATCTTTTTTCCATCTGGCACGGGCAGGAATCTAGGAGATAGGACATGGACATTTTCTATGACAGGAAACCTAGGAGACAGGATAGGACATTTCTTGTGTCCTTGACCACACAGGAAGTTCTCAGCTCTATGGCCAATACTTATGAGTCTAATCAGAGAGTTGAGTAACAACTCTAGTTCCATCTAGAATGTGGGACAATGAGGATGCTTCACCTTTGGGGAGGAAGACAGCGCACTTGTCTTATCCCTTGGTGTTTTTTGCACCTCAGTTACCTTCCGGGAGTTTTCAGGTACCTCTGGCTTCTGCTGAGATGGGCAGGCCGTGCAGTGCCGGCCCTTTCTCCCTGCTTGGAAGGTGGACTACACTGCTGGTGGGTCAGAACCGTGTGTCAAGAGCCAGAGCAGGAAGGTGGCTCTGGATGCTGAGTGAAGCCAGGGAAGAGCATCCTGGAAGTGTGCACGGTGGCTGAGGTCCGGGGTGGCAGTGGGAGCCCTGGTGACAGCGGTCTGACAGCTCAGAGGTATCAGCTCTGAATCTCAGTAGGACCCAGGCTGAAGCAATCTAGCACCCTGGTTAGCACCAGGGCAGTGACCCACAACTAGCACAAATGCAGGTCTACAACGTTGACCTCTGGGTCATCCCAGTGGCCCCAGCGCCTACATCAGACAAGTCTCTCACTGAGTTCACAATCACCTAAGGGATGCTTACACACCAACGCTAAGGTCCTGCTCATAGACATTCTTCTACGAATCTAAGGCTGGGCACGGACTCTATTTTTTAAAAGCTCCCAGGTCATTCGGATGAGTAGGCACCTTTGGAAATCACAGCTATATACAGAAATTAATCAACACCTTAGCTGGGGTCCTCCTACCCATCCCATAAAGGGCGTTTGGTATCCACAACGGGTAGAAGGGTCTCCACTTCTTGTGTGGCCTGTTTGTCAAACACGAATTGGTAAGTTTCTTCTGGCTTTTATTAAAATATGTCCTTTGACTCTCTATCTTTGAGCCTAGTATACGGGGTAGGTTTGGTGTCTGCGTACGTCTGATTTTGCCTGCTCTTCCGGTGGATATATCAGAACAGTTACTGCTTAAACTTGCTATAGCTGTAGTTATTTTATAGGTCCTTATCCTTTTTAGTGACTACTTTGGCATTATTTGCCCCACTGTCTACCCCTTCCAGAATCGCCAGTTTCAATTATTATAATTTGCATGAGATAATAGTTATAATAAATCCTTAAGTACCTTCATGAAATTCAAAGCATCAGGACAAGCATCTGAGAACTTTTCCTCAAGAGTTTCCTAGAAAACAAAGAATATCAATGGTACATAACAATGAAGTCATACATTTTGTGTATACTGACAACAACACTTGGATAAATACTCTTCAATACATTAGAGTATTCCTTTTAGAGCTCATAAAAATCATGTTTTTACACAGCTGTGTACACTATAGTGTAAGTGTCAGAGAGACATAAAATTGGAGTTATTTTCTTAATTTCCAGATGTCTTATAGTTGATGCTGGTACTTCTGAGTGGGAACAGGACGGGGAAGCTCATACAAATGTCTCTATCTGAAATCCTACCACAGTGCTATATAGTATCTGTGCCTGATCTATTTACAAGAATGCTTTGAGAATTGATGGAAATACTTTGAACTATACATAGAAAGAGCTCTACAGAAATCAACAGAATGATAAACACAATATTCAGGGTAGTGGGGAGTGCTGCCATTCCCAGCTTTTTCTTCTTCTTCTTCTTTTTTTAAAACCATTTTTATCTTGGAAACATTTTAAGCACTGTACAAAAGTAGAATAACAAGGCATCTCAGGTACCACTCACCCGGCTTCAACAATTACCAGATCATAAGCAGTCTTCTTTTTTGTATAAACACACTGCTTACCACCTATTCATCACTTGGATTATTTGGAAGCAAACTGCAGACATCTTCTCACTTTAATTTTTGGTAAATATTTCAGTGTAAATGCTTAAAACACAAAGGCATCTTTGAAGGTGGGCATTGTGATACATGCTTACAACCCCAGCCATCTGTGATGCAGAGGCAAGATCACACATTCAAGCCCAGCCTGGGCTACTTAGTGACGTAACAAGACCCTGCCTTAAAAATAAAGAGAGCTATGGATGTAACTCAGAGCAAAGGACGCCAGTGCCACCAAAATTTTAAAAAGGTATCTTTTAAACAAATCATCAAGATACCATTTATTACATCTAGGGCTGGGGATTTAGCTCAGTGGCACAGCGCCTGCCTGGCAAGCGCAAGGTCGTGAGTTCGATTCCCGGTACCGGAACCCCCCCCCAAAAAAGAACCATTTATTACATCTAAAAATTTTTAAAACTTAATGAATACTTAAGACCCATTAACTCTCTAGTTGGTGTATTGGCTTCTCTAGTTACTTTCTAGTTGCTAATTTGAGTCCAGTCAGGTTCATTTAGAATGACCATAGGTCTGTGAAGTCTCACAAGGAATGTAAACATTATGTACCACAAACGTACTGATAAAAATAACAGAAAATAAATATCTTGTTCTTTAAAGACATTAGACAAATAAATATTCTTTCATACACTTTAACTTTGCAACTCAACCTTTAACGTTACATTTGTTGAAGATTTAAAGAAATATAATAAAAAATCCGGTACTTCAGGTATTATATTAAGTGATCAATTGAAAATAGCGTCCAGAGAGATAGCGAGGAGCACTTGAACTCCGCACTTCACATGCGCAGTACTCCGCGAGGCGGCCGGGCGGACCTTTCCCGCCCCTCTGCTGCGCTGGCTCCCGCACGGCTGCCGCGAGGACGCACGCCTCTCTTGGTCCTTTCCTTCCCTAGGCAGGTTCCAGACCGGATGGAGTTTTAAAGGTGACAGCCTGAGCTCAGGTAACACGGCGGGGAAACTGGTGTCCTCAGAGGGTGAGAGGGTCAAGCGGCCATCGATACACGGCAGTTAAAGGGAACGACCACAGCAAGGACACAGAGATGATCACTGACTTGGTTTACCGTGTACAATGAGGATCATTTTGCAGAATGACCTTTGATGGGGGAAAAGCAAGTTATAAAACAAAGCTTTTCAAATCGATTTGAGCTGTGTTTCATAAGCTAAAAAATAAGATAATGCATATGTTCAAAATAAAGTAGATGACTGTAAATATGAGAAATCATTATTACAGGGAAAGTTAACCTTAGTGCTTTGACCAAAAGGATCAGGGTATTACTTAAGATATTAAATATACTTTCAAATAAAAAAATTTTTTTTGTCTTTTGAGACAGGGTCTCTCTATGTAGTTTAGGCCAGTCTTGAACTCATAGTATAGCCCAGGCTGGCCTTGAACTCGTGGCGATCCTCCTGCCTCGGCCTCCTGAGTGGTAGGATTATAGGCATGTACCACCATGCCTGGCTTCATATTTTCAATTTAAATTTAACATCAATCTTTGAATAGATAGGACAGGTAAACCTTAAAGGAGTTTCTGGATGACTTTTTGAATTTTTTTCTCACAATGTAGCCCAGGTTGGTCTTTTAAACTCCTTGGTTCAGCTGAAGCTCTCTCTGCAGCCTGTTGAGTAGCTCGGACTATCGGATCCTCCCGTGCTTGTGCTTCTCTTACACATTTTAAGCATACTTTTTTTGATCTGTGTTAGTATTTTATATGGAAAACAGACGCCCAAAGCACAAATACTAAAAAACAACTATACCTCTTTAAAGAAAATAGCAAATAATAAAATGCCCCTAACAGAGCAGCTCACCATGTCTTCAGGTTCAGGTATGCTGATGCCGTGGAAAAACTGGTTACTTTTAAAGATAGATTGATGCCTTGGGATTAGCTTTCCTGTAAAATACAAACCGCATAATTCACAATAAATGTGGCAGAAAGCCGGAAGTGTCTATAGGGTTAGTTCCCGAGGCCCAGGCATGCCGGGAGTGAGCCTTGCTGGTGAGAGGATCGGCCCCACCACGTCCGCCTGCTCAGGGAAGGCCAACTTTCCCGCACCACGCTTTGGCTGCATGGGGTTTGGTCAGCCACTTGCTCATCCAAACACAAGGTGAGAAAATGGTGCTGAAGGCCTCACGTACACGATCTCACTTAATTTCACAACATACTGCTCTTTATTTTTTTTTCTTTGTCAAGACAAGGTCTCGCTATGCAGTGCAGGCTGGCCTTGAGCTCACTTTGTAGCCTAGGCTGGTCTTGAACTCGCAAACAATCCTCCTGCCTCAGCCTCTCGAGTGCTGGGATTACAGGAGTGCGCCATCACACTGGGCTTCCATACTGCTCTTTTTAATCTCTGCTCTATCTGTGAGGAAAATGTGCCTTTGAGAGGCTTAGAAAGCTTGGTCACATGGTAATTAAATGATAGAGACAGGATTCAAACTCAGGTCCGGGTATTGTCTGTCTAATGTATTTAGGAAATAAAAACTATACACTTAGGGTATGGCCAGTAGCCATGCTCTACTCCCTGCTTCCATGATGTGGAATTTTCTAGAACACATTGGAAACGGGGGGAAACTGTGCAGAGGAATTAATCCACAGCCGTCCTTTGTGCAGCAGTATCACTTCCTGCATCAGGCTGCTGGAGGGAAGCTGCAACTGACACTCGGGTTATGTTCTCCTCTGACCAGGTGGAAGGAGACAGCTACGAAGCACGCTGACCCGTGATGACAGCTCATCACAGAAGCCCTGGAGCTCCATTCTGCTCTACACTGAACTGCATTTAACTTTCGGCCAATGTGGAGCTCCCTGACCATTTCCTCATTTATAAAATCAGCACTGCTGAAATGCTATGGTTTCCTCAAGTTTTTAAGATTGAAAGAGATAATGTGTATGAAAGTAATTTGTAAATTCTTGAGTCCCCTTCAAATAATGTACTTTAATATTATTTTAAATTCTAGAAGCCACTGTCAATCAGGAAAAAAGAAACCCAAAAAAACAGACTCTTAAGCTCTAGGGCAGGGGTCTGCAAACTAAGTGCCTCAAGCCAAATCTGGTCCAGCGCCTATTTCTGTACAGCCCAGCCTGAGACCTGAGAACGGCTTTTACCTTTGCACGTGGATTAAAAGAAGTCAAGGTAACATTTTGTGCCGTGCAAAACCCACTCACACTCACTGGCCTATGTGCATGGCTGTTTTCTCACTGTCAGAGCTGAGTTGAGGAGCTGCGTTGGGGACTGTACAGCCTACAAACCCCAGAAGACTTAGCAACGAGGCCTTGGTAGCAGATGTTTGCTGCTCCCTGTTCTAGAGTAAACGGGGAGACCTCTCCGATGGTGGACAGAACTTGCCTGTGATCGAGCATCTGTCAGATTAGGTTCAAGGTGGCTGACTCATACCTCTATCTCATTCCGCTATGAAGGTAAATATAGAGTTTATCCCACGGCTAACTGGCTTTTCTTGGAATGGCCTCTGAAAACTCGCTAACAAGAATTACAGTTCTATGTACTGAGAAAGGATTGGGCTTTGGCTACGACCCAGAACCCTGAGCCATCATTCTGAGTAGAACTCTGGAGACGCAGTAAAGCTCTTGTTTTCCGTATAACAACGTATTACTACGACCACACGCCAGCCGCTCCGTGAGCCGTAAAATGCAATGCATACCCAGTGTTCTGATTATCAGATAAAGTTGGTCCACATCGGATTTTCCAGGCCAGAGCGGCTGGCCAGTCAGGAGCTCAGCAAAAACGCAGCCAGCAGCCCAGACGTCGACTGAAGAACCGTACTGTGTGTCCCCCACGAGCAGCTCGGGAGCTCGGTACCACCTGGTGGCGACGTAGTCAGTGTAGGCATCTCCTGGAACTGCAAAGGATCAGGCGGGTCAGGCGAGCCAGTCTCCTGGGCTGTGGACTGGGCCCGGCCTCGGGGAGCAGGGCGGGCATTCAGGCAGGCCTCTCTGCCTCCCAGGGGCGCTGCCTGCTGATAGCTGCTGAACTGAGGCAGTGCTGGTTACACTGAGCACAGTGCTGGTTACACTGTGCCCTGAGACAGTAAATCAACCTTTACGAGCACGTTAGCTGTTGTCTCTGTCGTCCCAGAGAGGGCAAAATAAATATTTCTGGACTGTAACTTCAAGTCTAAACCAACTGTTGCTTGTTTCTATATTATTATCAGCATGGTGCTGGTTGTTGGTTAGTTTGTGTCTCCCCTAAAAGACAGGTTTGAAGTCCCAACTCCTGGTACTTGTAAAGGTGTCCTTATTTGCAAATAGGAAGGGGGCGTGAAAAGAAGTAAGCTATGTTGTGTGCACATACCAACTCCCTATGCTGAATGTAATGATTATCAACTGCAAGCACACACCAATACAATTTTTTTAAAGAAGGAAATAGGGTCTTTGCAGATGTTACGGATTTATAACGAGGTCATGCTACATTAGGGCAGATCCTAAACTCAGTGACTATTGTCCTCACAAGAAGACCATGTAGCTGGGCATGGTGGCACACGCCTGTAATCTCAGCACTTGGAAGGCTGAGGCAGGAGGATCTTCGTGAGCTGGAGACCAGCCTGGGCTACAGAGTGAACTCAAGGCCAGCCTGAACTGCATAGTGAGACCCTGTCTCAAAAAGACAAAAAAAAAAAAAAAAAAAAAAAAAAAAAAAAAAAGAAGAGCAGACCATGTAGGGACACAATGACACACACAGAGAGAACGTGTGAGTCAGAGACAGACACTGGAGTGAAGCAGCTGCAAGCCCAGGAACACCACAACCATGGGAGTGAGGAGGCTTGGGAGGGTCCTCCCTGGGAGCCCTCAGAAAGAGCACGGCTTCCTAATCCTTTACTTTGAATTTCCAGCCTCTAGAACTAAGAGCAAATATACTTCTGTTGTTTTAAGCCATATGGGTTGTGATAGCTTATGAGGGCGGCCCTAGGGAACTAATGCAGTGCTGGCCAATTGCATGACCCAATTTTTCTATCCAAATTTGTTGCATAGGGCCCATGGTGACAAAGATCTCAGTTTGACTCCTTGTACTGTGAGTTGCATGTAGTGTGATAAGCAGATGACAGAGAGCTGGGTACAACATTGCAGGCCAGCCCTGCTGTACTGGCACAAGGGTAGACTACCTGAGTCACCTGCCTCCCAGCGGGGGAAGCCAATCCACAACTGCCATATGACCCAGAAGGATCAAGAACCCCCATTTTCTCCTTTGAGGTGAAGACGGGTAAGATGATCCCATGGGGTTTTAACGGGCAAGGGTCACATAGGAGTCCGTATTATGAAGTCTACAAATGCACAGAGGAAGGACAGTTGGGAAGCTGGTTGGGGCTGCAGAGATGAGGTCCTGGGTAATTCTCCCCAGCAAAGGCTGTGGGCAGCCAGCCTGCGACTGCCTGGAAGAATCTCAGAACCTAGGGCCTGCCGACTCCATACAGAACTGTCCTTGAAGTAGGAAAAGAACACTACTTACTGCTCTTTCATAAAATTGTAAACTGCTCATTTTAGGTGATAAAACTTGATGACTTCTTTAAATGACAGAAATTAATAAACACTATTTAGGAGATTTGGAACTGGAGAAAAAGAAAATAACAACTACTGAGCAACTGATTTGAAGACACCAGTATGCAATGGAACAACCATGGTGAACTCCTACCATCTTGTCTATTGAAACTCTGTATTATCTCTAATGTTTTATTTAATAACTATTTTTTGTTCTCTTTAGTGGTTTGAACAGTCTTCCATTCTTGCATCTGATAATCTGAGCAACGTAGCTGAAGACAATAATATGTAATATACCAACCACTGTTAATTCCTCTCATTTTGTTTTAAAACCCTGCATCACTTTTAATGTTCTTGCTTTGTTTTGTTTATGTCTGTGATGCTGGCGTGTTGCTATTGTTCTTTTTATTTTTTTTGCTACTCTCTTTAAAATAATGAAAGAAAATAACAACTACTGACAATTCTCACTACTGATCAGCTGTTAGACATTTGGGGAATATTTTCTAAAAGTCATATATAGTCATTGAAGACAATATAATAAACAGAAAAAGGAAAATAAAGTCAAGTCTTACCACTCAGATATACCATGTGTTAATCTTTTGGTGTATTTTATATAAATTTTATTCTTTTTTTCAGTTTTGATTTCTTATTAGTACCTGTTTGCATTGCATTCCTTGTGGGGATACGGTAGGTGTAATACATCTCAATTCTCTTTTGAGCACCTTTGACTATTCTCTAACTATGTGTTTATCCATCTTATAATATATACTATTGTATATTGATATTTTCACTTAATTCTATGTATTTACCATGTTACGATAAACGAGTTTAATGGCTGCCTGATAGTTTACCAAGTGCATAATGCCATCACTTACTTTTATCTTTCCCAAATTTTCTGATACTTTGCCATTATAAACATCACCAAAGCTCTGCCCCAAACTTTTCTGTATTTAGGATTATTTCTTTAAAACGTATCTTTGTTTGTTTGTTTTTCTTCCGGTACCAGGAATCGAACTCACAACCTTGCGCTTGCCAGGCAGGCGTTTCTGTCACTGAGCTAAATCCCCAGCCCCTAGAATGTATCTTGATAGGTGGAATTACTAGATCAAGAGGTATGAACATCATTTACGAAATTATAAAAGTATTTCATGTTCACTGTAGAAAACTTGAAAAATGCAAAAAGCATAAAGAAGAAAACAAAAATGTCCTCCACTCAGAGAAAACCAGAGTAATGTTTTGGTGCATTTCCCCTCATCCTGGTGTTAATATTGACAGAATCGGTGGGTGTTCTGGAGGTGACTGAATCGAGTCTGTGATTGCTCACTGTCCAGTGCTGGGTTTGGCGGTGTGAGTGCTGAGCCTGCCCTAGGGCGAGTCGCCTGCATACAGTGAAGGGAGGGAAAGAATTTTCCCTTTTTTACTCTTGTTTTTGCTGTCTTCCACCACCATGAACAGTTGCCCCTCTGCCACACCACCCTGCTGTGGAGCCAGCCAATTAAGGCCAGAAATCTCCACAAACTGTGAGCCTAACAAACCTTTGCTCCTTTAACCTTGAGTATTAGGTATGTTGTCTCAACAACAAGAGAAAGTAACTAAGACAGGGACCCATCTCTCTGAGTGCAATTTTGTCTTCTTTTTTACTTAACCCCATATTGTGTGCGTTGAAGGATTTTCTTGATTCATTAGGATTCTTTAAAAATACGCAATTTAAAGTATGGTATTAAGTCAGATAAGTTCTTTAGCCATTTCTTTATTGATAGAAACTTAAGTCCCCTTCAAATTCTTCTTCGTAATTAGTTTCACAATGAATATTATGTTGTACTGGTTTGGCAGGTGGTATTCTCAGGATATGAAAGATTCCTAAAAGTGGAATTAAGGTTCCGAGGGCACTTTTTTGTTTTGCTTTGTTTTTTCTGAGACAGTGTCTCACTGTGCAGTTCAGGCTGACTTTGAACTCACTGTGTACTCAAGGTTGGCCTTGAACTCATGGCAATCTTCCTGCCTCAGCCTCCTGAGTTCTGGGATTACAGCCATGTGCCACCATGTCCAGCTCAAAGGGCACTTTGAAAAGTTTTTGGCACATACTGAAAGGTAGCATTTCAAAGTGCATTTCTTTGACATCAGTGTGGAAGAAGATTAGTTCATGTTTATTAGCCTTTTTTCCTTCTGTGAACTGTCTGTTACTTGCTAGTCAATTTTTCTACTCAGAGCTTTAGTAATTTTTTATCAATTTACATAAGCTCTTTTATATCAATTTATGGACAAACTTGAAATATTTTCCCTTGATTTCTTGCTTTGAAAATTGTGCCCTGTTGTATGTTATCTATATATCTAGAGCTTATATATGTTATCTATACACCCGGAGCTTTAATTTGTTTAGTGGTAAAATATACACAACACTTACCATTTTAATCAATTTGGGGGTGCAGTTAATTGCATTAAATACAGTCACAGTGTGTGCAACCATTAGCAGTATCTACATCCAGAACCTTTTCATCATTACAGTTTAAAACTCTGTACCCTTTAAGCCAGGTGTAGTGGTGCACTGCACGTCTATAATCCCAGCACTTGGGAGGCTGAGGCAGGAGGATGGCTATGAGTTTGAGGCTAGCCTGGACTACACAGCAAGACCCTATTTCAAAAAAACGAAACAAGAGCAACAACAAAAAAACCAAAACCAAAACCAACCAAACAGAAAACCCCAAGCAAGCCAAAAACAACAAAAAACAAAAAAAACTCTGTACCCATTAAACAATAATACCCATTCACTTAACCCCATTGTCTGATACCCACTACTCTTTTTGCTGTCTTCATGAATTTGATTAGCATAAGTTCTTTATATAAGAGAAATCATATATATATATATATATATATATATATATATATATATATATATATATATATATATATATATATATATATATATATATATATATATATATATGTCATTTTTGTACCTGGCTTATTTCACCAACCTTTTTTGGAGACAGAATCTTGCTACGCAGTTCACGCTGGCCTTAAACTCACTATGTACTCTGGGTGGCCTTGCACTCACAGTGATCCTCCTGCCTCAGCCTCCTGAGTGCTGGAACTACAGGTGTGCACCACCATGCCCGGCATATGAACTATATATATTTTTCAAGATGCATCTGTGTTGCGGCATGTTGTGTGTGTGTGTGTGTGCTTGTGCTTATAACTGTGGTTTTAATTTACACTTCCTTAGTGACTACTGATGCTGAGCATCTTCTCATGTCCTCACCGGCAGTCTATGTGTCTTCTTTGAAGACATACACACTCAAGTTCTCCGCCCATTATAAAGTTAGTTTTTGTTTGGGGTTACAAGAGTTTTCTTTACATTCTACTAATTCTGTACCAGATATAAAATAGCAAATATTTTCTCCTTTCCCATGAGCTGCCTTTTCACTGTGTTTATAGCACCCTTTGAACACAAAAGTTTTTATTTTTGATGAAATCCAATTTATCTTTTGTTGTTTGTGCTTTTGGTATCACATCTAAAAAAATCATTATCAAATCCAGTGTTGTAAATACTGCCCCCCTGTTTTCTTCTAAGAATTTTGCAGTTTTAGCTTTTACTTTTAGGTCAGTAGTTATTATTATTATTACTATTTATTTAGTAATTTTTGGGAATAAACCCAGGGTCTTGAGTGCACTGGGAAGATACTCTACCACTGAACTACACCCCCAGCCCTGATGATTCATTTTTTGTGATTTTTTATAAAGATACTTCACTCTTTTGCATGTGGAAAATCAGTAGGAGCTTATGTTTTCATGTCATTAAGTCTACTGAGCCAGTGTTAGTACTATAGAACATAATGGGACACTTCTCTTTGTCTTTCTCTCTATAAATGATGACCCCAATAATGACCCAGGCCAGTACTTATAACAGCTTGTGCTATAACCAGTGCCTGAGCTCATATACTGGGGAGATTTTTTAAAAATCGCACAACCTCACCATGACCAGGCAGCTGTAGTGCCGCTGAGCTATATCCCCGGCCCCACTGGGGAGATTTTAGCTAATATAAACAAGCTGGCAGTGTCTTGTACTACTGCTTGGTTTATAACAACCTATCAGAAGCCGTCACAATTTACGACGCCACGGTGGGATCACCATGCTGATACTTTGGGACATAAAATCAAAACTTCTGAGGCAGATGACTGAGTTTAGGTCTAAAGTTCTTCATTAAGAGAATAACTGTTTGCTACAGAAAGACTCAGGAGGAAAGCAAGAATGCATATTCCTGAAAAATGTGCATTTATCCTGTATGGCTGAGAGCATGCTGCATACATAAGTGTAAGCTTTCCTTTTCCACTTACCATGTCTTGAGCATTTTCCAATGCCACTCCAAATGGTAAACATCATTTTTAATGGCTGCCTAATATTTCATGATACAAATGTACTATGTACACAGCCTATAGGTCAATCGTTTTCCAGCCTTCTTCTATTTCTCTTTTCAGCCACAAGACACAGGCACCAATGAACACCATAGTCCCATTATATTTATTGCAAAGGACGGCAGCCTCAGAAAGACATTGTTTCCCTCCACCCCAATGCTTTCAAATATATTGCCAAGTCACGCATATTTGGGTCCTATAAGGAAAACTTCTCATTATGTATATCCCCATGCTGCAAAGTATATGTTTCTGCCAGCTGCAAAGTTCTGGTTCAAGGAGAAATAATTATTTGTTTCTTTTCTCTTTTGGTTTATGTCTGGCATGACTTTCTTTTTCTTAGCACTGTCTCTTGAATACTACTCTCTCCTTAATTTTCGGTTGACTTTTCTAGTCTCACTAGCTCCATGAAGTTTTTTTCAACTACTCTAGCCTTCATTAGTATCTCCCTCCAGGGGCCTGTCTGTACCTTCATGTTAAGAATTTTATTGCCAACCAGTTCATAATATTCTTTTTAAAAAAAACTTTAGATGATAAATGCATGAAGAGCAGAAATTCATCTCAAAATTTTTTTCCACTTGGACGGAGAGAACGAAACACATTAAAGATATCATCCAATCAATTCTAGCTAAACGGAATAGAGCTGAAGTGTCAACTAATGCACCCCCTAAAAGGCTGAAGTAAGGTTTTGCTTTTTAAGTCACAACAATAAAACATTTGGCTTACACTCAGTATCTCAAGTAAGAATGTACACTGTATCAGTTTATAATTATCTAAATTGGATAAAGTAGGTAAAAAATTGCTACTTACTCAGAATTCTTGCAAATCCAAAGTCACAGATCTTGATTATTCCTTGCTTAGTTATTAGAATGTTTTCAGGTTTTACATCTCTATGAATACACTGTAAGATAATGTTTGATTATTTTCCTGCAATATCAAAATGACAGATAATTTGACTTACAAGTTTAATGATAGCTTATGATGGAAAAAACAGATTTCCTTCATTTTTATAGAAGAAGTTAAATTGACACTTATATATCTTGTATATAAAAGAAAAAAATCGCTAAATGTTGTTACCTTGTTGAAGAAATTAAAATTGTTACATATGAAAATGATTTTCATATGTCTGATTTTTCTTTGAAGAAGGGAGTATCACACAATTCTTTCTTTTTTTACTAGTAAAACCCTGAGCAAGAGTAGACTCCATAGATCTTTAAGAAGAGCTGCTGCAGCTCAGAAATCACAGTTCAGGTTGAATACTGCACGGTTAATAAATCAGAAAAACATTTAAATGATAAGAGACACCGACATGCACTTTTCGTTAGGGTGACATAATACTTATTCAAATCAAGACACTTTCAAGTGTGAAAGGAGCTCTGCTAATAATGATGCCAGGACACGGGAACAAACACGAAGAGTCTTGGGTAAGCTGGGATGCAGCCCATAGGTCTGTATCTTCCCTGTTCTCCCACCCCTCCCCCAAAGAAAATGGATGGAAATGACACAGGTCTCTAACTTGGCACTCATGGACAGCTGTGTACTTTCCCAGGCGGAACGATCCTGTGACTTCAGGTGGCCTCTGAGAGTGACAGATTAACTCACAGTAATCATCTCTGTCAGCCTCAGTGCCCTGTCACCCTGTCAGTCTCTTTACATATTTCTGTCAAACTGACAGTTCTGAAATAGTTTCTTTGGTTCTATAACAGCCATCTAATAAGGGAAAAAGCTAAACCCTTAATTCATTTTAGGTAAAAAAAAAATGTCACTGAGAACAAAAGCTAGCTCCTAATCTCAATTACTGTCAACTGTTTCATAAGTTGTTGGCCAGCAGTTAAAAGAAAGTTTTTAGGCCTTGTAAAGGTCTTAAGGCATTACATTTTTTTTTTTTTTTTTTGGTACCGGAGATTGAACTCAGGACCTTGTGCTTGCCAGGCAGGTACTTGTGCCACTGAGCTATATACCTAGCCCTTAAATATTTATTTTAAAACACATCATTGGACTATAATACAAAATCATTTTGATATTTACTTTAATCAGATGTTTATGAAACTTAGGGTAACACTCAGAGTTAGTAAGGCTTTCAATAGTAATTTAATTAGTACTGGTATGTCCCTCAAATGAATTTTTATCAAATTCTAGATTTTCTACACTGTTACAGCATTACAAAGTAAACAGATTTACACTGACACTAGTTTTTGGTCTATTTAAATATTTTTTAATCTAATTAATATAAATCCATGTGAAATTTATAGTACTTATTTTTCAACCCCAAAATAGGCAAATGAAATATTGACATATATATCTTAAATAGAAAAAATGTTGGTATAGGTATAAGAAAGAAAGGGAGCAAAAATAATTGGAATAGGCTGGGTGTGGTGGCGCATACTTGTAATCCCAGCACTCAGGAGGCTGAGGCAGGAGGATCATTGTGAGTTTGAAGCCAGCCTGAGCAATATAGTGAGCTCGAGGCCAGCCTGAACTGTAGAGTGAGACCCTGTCTCAAAAAAAAAAAAAAAAAAAAAGGAACAGTAAGAAACAGCACGGATAATGGAGACATTCAGACACAGTATGAACTATAATACAAAATCACTGCAAAGACACACACAGTGCAAAATCTCTGCAATGCTTCTTGCAATCAGCTTATTTTCCACCAAAGAATAAGAAACACGCAAATCTCTTTAACAGAAGAATTTAGTAAAATTGGACTTTATACACGGCTTTTAGCAAACATTGATCAGGTTGGGTTATTGTGGCTAATGTACAATCTCATTTTTATTGGTTTATAAGCTGTCAAAAAGAGGTTTATCCTTGGAATTTCTACTCCTTCCCCTCAGCTGGAGATTGAACGCAGGGCCTCAGGCATGCTAGGCATGTGCTCTACCACTGGGCTATATCCATCCTCAGGGTTAGACGTGGTATTTTAAGCCTGACACTGAACTTTAAGAATCGTTTCTGGAAACGTCCACACCAGAAGATTCTTGTATGCTCTGACAGAATAACAGTTTTCTAAATCTGAGAAGGTTGCTCTCTTTAATTGAGATTTTGAGAGCAAAGAGATGCCCTCCTTGACAACCAAACAATGCACGTCAATAAGATGCTGATGGATGTTACAGCTTTTCACATTCATATCTCAGAAATCACTTAAGTTTTGCTATTATGAGATGCATCTAATCAATACATCAAACATAATACACATAGATTCTAAGTGATAATAAATTGGTCACTTGAGCTGCCTCACTATGGCAGTACTATAGGGTAATACAAGATAAGCAGGTACTTTCTTAAGGCCAGTGCCTCTTAGATTTAATATATGTGCATAGGAATCACCTGGAAGTTTTATAAAAATGTACATTCCACGGCTAGGGTAGATTACATTGGTTAGCAAGCTGGAGGCCTGGGTTCAGCCACTAGCAATCAATCAATCACTCAGCACATTCTGATGCTGCAGACCTGGAGTGGGCCCATGACTTTGCACTTCTAGTGAGCGCCCAAGCAATCTCTGCAATCCACACTTTGCGTAGCAAGGTTTTAATCCCTTTTCTAGTTTAACCTCTGCTGTCTTTCTTAGCATCATGACTCTCTGGGGATAATAAAATGCACTTGGTCTCCATAGATTGAAACCTGGGAGTCTTATGTGACACAATTAGGTCAGATTGCTTCTTTTTTATTCTTTGAGCATAACATGAGAGCTCCTTCAAAAATATGGAGTGTATGATGGTGTAAGATGTATTAACTTAGATTTTGCCCTTTGCATGCATTTTAGATAATTGATAAAATAAAAAGATACCTAAAGGCTTACCATAGCATAATAACATGATACAAGTTCTAGAGTAATTTCCATTTTGGAAGAGGAAAGTTTGATTAAAATTATCCATATTTGAAAGAGATCACAGATGATCAATGGGAAGTTTTCAGTATTTTAAAGCTCGAGATGCAGAATATGCTGCTCCAAGGACAGAAATAATGGCAGTTGCACTGAGATACAGTAATGTTTGGGTCTGCTGGAAACAACCAGGTAGGTAGATTGATGCAGCCATCTATCCATCCATCCAGTTATTCAGGAAATATGTATTAAGCATCTCTTACATAAAATGTCCATGGTAAGCATGAAGAGTTATAAAGATAAATTGGTTTCAAACATTGCTTTCAATAGTCTAGTACATGGGAAAGTGTCTAGTTTTACAGGGATAAAGTAAAAACACTTATGGTAAATGTATTGCCAGAATAAAGTTCTAACCATCCATGCAACGGCTGCAGCAGCCTCAGGCGAACTTGATCTCTCTTATAGTGTGATGGGAAGCAACAGAGACATGAGTTTAACTCACAACCAACTTTAATAAGAACCTGCAAGAACCACTGCATCATGAAAACAGGGTTATGTGTGTTGTGAACAAGATCTGCTTTAATAGAAATGAAGGCGTTTGATTTATTTGAATGAAAACTTCACCAACTTTCTTGAAACTACACAAGGCTTCTGCAAGTACTGACATTTAGTTCCATGGTCTTGCATTTTTTTCTCAGCAATCCTAGACTACCATGGTAGACGTTCTGCTGGCATCAGAGCTGACCATATGGGAGTGTCTTGTTTTCTCAGCACTCTCCGTCTAGGCACCAACTCAAAAGGCCTAGAGAGATTTTTTTAAAAGTTATCATCCTAGCAAAGCACCCGGAAGCCAACTTGAGTAAGCTCCCAGTGGCCCAAGATGGGAAAATCTGAACATCTGAGAGAACAAGGACAACAAAAGATGGGAAAACGTCAAATATATAAAGTTCATGTTTATGATGATGCCCCCCCACCTGTCTAAATCCATCATTATCATTGCTGGAGATTGCTGAGAATCTTATTCATTACTTTGAATACCGATATATAATGCAAATCACATGTTCACCTTGCTGTATTTTACAGTAGCCAGAGTCCATGAATGTAATTTATTTTCCATACAATCCTAATTATAATACAGACAGAATGTTAGAATTGGAAAATTAGCATCTCTTAATCTTCATAAAATACTGGATGCAATAATCACTGCTGGATGCTAACACCATCAGGTAAAAAGGTTGACACTGATAATGGAAGAGATGAAACTAATAACTCCTGGGCCTATCAATCAAGATCAGCATTATCAAAAGTAGCACATCAGCTATTATATACCTCAAGATATTGAGTGCACATCAGCACATATGAAATATTCTTGTCTGAAAAAAATTAAACCTGAATATGATCAAGGCTTTAGATATAAATACCAATTTACAGGAAATACAGGTAAAGATCAAGTTAAATTATAACAGGAAACAACCAGTCAAAATTATTTCTGTAATACAACTGTCTTAGTTACTTTTCTCTTGTTGTTGGGGCAAAATACCCGACACAGTTAAAGGAGGAAAGGCTTATTTAGCTCACAGTTTATGGAGGTTTCAGTCCATCATCGGCTGGCTCCAAGGAAGGGTGGTGTGGTACAGAGGGGCAACCGTTCATGGAGGTGGAAGACAGCAAAAGCAACAAGAGCAAAAAGCGGGGAGCAAGCCTCCCTTTCTCCCTTACACTGTATATGGGCTGCCTGCCCCAGGGCGGGTGTAGCACTCACACCATCTTCCTGCCTCCTCTTGCACAGGCTCAGGATGTTTACAAAGTGAGAACCCTGCCCCCCGGCTGAGTCACTTAAGTTAACCTTCTAAACTTCTCAAATTGACACAATCAGTCAACCATCAGAATATCCTGGAGTGTAAAGAGCCACCCTAGGACGTGTCCTCTACACCCTAGAATATACAACTGCTGAGTTACTTAGTTAAGCTTCTAAATTTCTCAAGTTGACACAGTGTATCAACTATTACAACAATATTGAAAGTGTGGTTCTTGGACCAGCAGCATCAGTGTCATTAAGGGAATTGTCAGAAATACACATTCTCTTTCTCTACTGCAGAAGTCGGGGCGGGTAGTCCGCGTGCAGGGTCTGCTTGCAGAGTTTTACCAAGTCCTCCAGTGAGGTAAAGGCTCTGAGGCATGCCCAAGTTTGAGAACTATGACGGCAACAGGAATGGCAGAAGGAATTAAATTTTTGAAAAAGGTAGAGGAAAGGGGGACTGCTATAGAATAAAAGACTTAAGAGACATAATAAAATGAAACCAAGTACCATGGTGGATCACAGTACAACACCTGAAAAATTATTTTAACCCAATTAAAAAATAACCATAAGAATCATCTGTACTGTCACAAAAGGAAACATTAAGTTTACACACACTTTTTCCTCCGTACAAAATCAGTAACTTGACTCTTACTGAGAATGCAAAGGGGCCATGAATAATGAATTGCTTTTCCTCATTCTGGTTCTTTCTTTCCTTTCACCTTCAGCTCTTCAAATGGAGCCCCACGCCATTGGGGAGAAGAGCCACCTCAATGAAAGTAACGAATATGGTAGAAAATGTTACTTACGTTATGTTTATGGCAGAAATTCAGAGCTTGAAGGGTTTGCCATAACACACTTTTGATCATTCCATCAGCCACTCTGTGGGAAGAAATAAAGAGAAATGGAAATGCCTGGAATGGGGTTCCTGGGCACAGACTTGGCATCGGTGGGGCTGGTCATGTGCAAAAATCATAGTGGAGGGGGAGTCTGGGAAATCTGTCTTTCAAAAAATGTTTGAAGGGAAACTCTTTCATTTCCTTTTATTATAGTTATGTCATTTTCTTTTGTAGTCTGAAATGTTTACACCTGCCTGTGTAGCATAAAAATGTGCTGATGCTAATCTTGCTACCTTAAAATAACTACTGTAGCTTAGGATGGCTGTTTGTTAAGCATCTCTGCTTTTGTCTCTGTGTCTCTCTCTGCATTTAACTTTAAATAAATACATTTGTATAATTCAAGAATTTAGGGGCTAGGGATTTAGCTCAGCGGCACAGCGCCTGCCTAACAAGTGCAAGGTCATGAGTTCAATTCCTGGTACTGGAAAAAACCAAACAAACAAAAATTCAAGAATTTAAAACTATGAAGTTGTATCAGTGAGGACCTTCTCCCCTCACACCTGCCGAGCCACCCACTGACCTCTACAGTTTCCCTCTATTCTGCCTTTTTTTCCCTCCCTTCCTTTTGAACCCAGGGCCTAGACATATATTTTCGTGGCTATGGAAGATCTCAGATGTATCACAATTTACTTAGTCCTCAAGATGAGTAGTTAGATTGAGCTAGTTTCTATTTCTAGAAACATTTCAATGAGTACCTGTAATTATTCATTTCATTGTAATTGTGCAATTATCTTT